ATTCTTAAACTAAAAAATTTCTATTAATTAAACCATTGTAGTTAGTCATTTTGGAAGAAATCCTAAAAAGGAGGTAAGCCCCCTAAAGATAAAAAATTCATAAAAAAGAAAATCTGAATATTTTATTAGAGTTAAAATTAAAATAATTGGGTAGTGAAAAAAATATTTAAATATCAAAAATTACTACTAAATTTAAATTAATAATTGATAAATAATAAAAATAAAAAATTCAAATTATTTTAAAATTTATTATTCTCGCGAGTATCAGCAATATGATTAATGGAAGAATAAGCTAAAATTTTTCGTAATCTAATTTGATTAAGGCCTATAATTCCTCTAGAAATTGAGGAAAACAATTTCATGATAAAAAAAAAGTTATATTTAAATTATACATGAAAATTACTAGGGGGCGATTTTTGTCAAGTAAGTATAATAACTATTAACCTCAGTCTAATCCTTCTATCACCTCGGGGAATCAGGCGTGAAGGGGGCTGCTCCTATTTTTAAAAATAAGAAGAATTTAAAATTATTATTAAAAATTTGAAGAATTTTGGGGAGAAATTCTTGAAAATTTAGATCTAATATAATAAATAAATATTAAAGAAGCTAAAACTTGAGTAATAAAGTATTTTGGATGATTCAGAAGGGAATAAATTCTCTTTTTTTGCTCTAATGGGATAATGCTAAAGATTAATTTTCTAATCCTATCATTTCTAAATCAAAGCAATATGAAGAAATTGTAATTAAGTTCCTAAAATTAAAGATTTATAAATAATATTTTATATAATTTTATAATTAAAAGAGAAGTGAAATCTTCATAAGTGGGGTATGAACCCAATAGCTTTATTAGCTTATCTTTTTATATCCAAGTATAAAGATGTACATAAATTTTTGATATTTAGAGAAACAGTTTAATTCTGTTGGATATAGACCGAATTGTGAAGGTGGGGGGGGGCTCAATTTTTAATTCTATCAAATTATCCTTTATTCAGGCACTTCACAATTACAAATATTTCTTATGTCAAAATAGTGCCTCACATAAAACTGATTGGAAAAATGACTCCTGGAATGTATATAATTTTTTTGAAAAATCAAAGTCCAAAAAATCGATTGAATTTCGATTTTGGGGCGTTTTTTTTTTTTTTTTTAAAATTTGCAAAAAAAATCGACTTTAGGAAATCTTCGGCAAGAAAAAAACTCGAAAAATGTTTTTAAATTAATTTTTCTAAATAAAAATTAATGAAATACATATTCATTATTTATATATATATATATTATAATTTATATAATATATAAAAAGATAAATTCTAAGCAATATAAAGAAGTATTCAATATTTAATTGAAATATCGATGCCCTTACTGGATTAATATAAAACCCTAAATACAGGAAATTTTAGGTATTCATTAAATACATATAGTGAAAGAGAAAGAAGAATATTAATAATTTAATTATCATTATTGAATGTCTATTAGATTCATAATAAAAATTAATATTAGTTATATATATATATATAATTTTTAATAAACAGGCTAAATTAATGAAAAAAAAAAAAAACCCTAATTTCCATTACTTGAATTTAAATTTGTACGAAAAAACGAATATTTAAAAATTAAATTTTGTGTAAAGCAAAATTATATAGGGGCGAGATTTTTAATTTTATGTTGATAATTGATGTTTTTATGCGGTATAAAAAAGTGGTATTTAAAATTGAGAGTAGTTAAATATAAATTAATTTCTGATAATAATTAAAGTTAATTTATTCGGGTAGTGAAAGAGTACTAAAAAAAATTCATTATTGGTTAGAGGGCAGGGTAAAAAGATGTAAAAATAATTTATTAGTAATATTTGTTAATAAAAAATAAATTATTTTAACTATTTTTAAATTTAATTTAATTAAATTGTAATATATGATTAAAATAATTTTTTAGGATTGCTTGTTAGATAATCTTTGATTTAAATATTTGTTAGGACTTGTTTGTTAAGAGTTTACGCCCTGTTCCTTCTTTCACTTCTTTATAAAGGGCCCGTTATCCTTGCTCCTGCCCATTTTTAATTCCTTGCACAATTACCTCCACCTTTATTCATTAATGAAGCTTATCTCGTCATTTTTCCTTCACTCCTGGGCTTCCTTTTTTGGGCCTTTCATTTTCACTGCTCCCTTATTTCGCTTTTTTCTACCCGCGCCATCCCTCGCCTTTTCCCGCTCTCTCCACTGTTCATGTTATGTTTCTGTTGCTTTTTTTTTTCACCCACGCCCAGCTTTTTTCGTCTCACATCCGTTATTCTTTTTTTTCTATGCACTTTTTGGTTGCCTTAACCTTTCTTTCCCCTATTTTGATATTTATTCGCAGTAAGTAAAATTAAATTTTAAAGAAATTTAGATTTAGGAATAGAGTTTAATATTAACAAATTTGTGCCAGCAGTTGCGGTTATACAAATATATAAATTAATTTTTTAGTAAAAGTTAGTTTTTAAAAATAATTTTGTAATAAAATTTATTAGGTGAAATTTTAAATTTTAGATAAAATTTGAATAGTAAAACGAAGCTTAAAAATTTTAGTTTAAACTAGGATTAGATACCCTATTATTAAAAATGTAAATTTTTTACTTAATTAGTATTAGTTATGTTCTTGAAATTAAAAAATTTGGCGGTATTTTAGTCTTTTCAGAGGAACCTGTTCTATAATC